GGGATTGTGAAAGAAGAATGCAAAGACTTTATCAGCCCAAGTGCTAGCAGGGTATGTATGGCAGTGAGTTTTACAATGAGTAAAACGTTTACTTCTCCCCACTCCTTCCACATTTCCATTAGTAGGTTGATATTTTTACAATAAAAATAATGTAAAGAGTTTCCCTTTTGTGGTATGGTTCTGAATACGGAACATTTAACAAAAAAGGTGACCATTCATTCATTCACTTCTCAAACACAATGAGAAGCTACTACATCCATCCAGGCATAGAATGAATTTCAGACTTAATATGTTGTCTTCATTCATTTTTCCATTCTAATCTGGGCATCTACAACATTCCAGGACTACAGCTGTGAACAAAACAAAGTCCCTGCTCCCAATTTGTTTTTATCCTACAGATCTTCAGCAGTTCCATCTCCAGAACATTCGTAAACCTATCATCCTACTAAAGGCAAAACACTGCTTCAAAGTTCTTCCTTGGAAGGTTAAGTATTCTTCACAGCTTTAAAAGTACCTCGTGTGGTTAATTCAGGACATGACATTCCTTTTTTAAAGGGCGGGCCATAACACCACCTCCTATCTATAAAATGCTTTACAGGTTAAAGCAGGTTTTCTTACATGGTCATTCATTTTCAAAGCAAGCTCATAGGGTGGATATATGCGTTCTTAGGTGTCCCACAGTTACTCATGAACACCCTCCAAGTTAGGAACTCCCGAGGATTAGGGCTCAGAAAACCAGAACAGCAGCTCCACTTGCGAAGCTAACTAACTTGGACAAGTGTTTCCGCGCGGAAGGACCACGCCAGGGCGGACCTCGCAAACCTTCTTGACAGAATAACCCAAGTAAATTACAGCATCGTCCAGTGAACCTAAGTAAGTAATTTCACAACTTCTCACCGCGCAACACTCGTAACAGAACCACAGGGTATAACTCTGTCTTCTCCTTTTTAAAAACAAATTATAAACTCAATTAAAGACAGCAGCTGCTTTCCCCACAGGACGATGAACTGTAGGGCCACAATCGGGCTAAGCCCGCCAAGGGCCAACTAACCATCTAGGTCCCCGACCCCGGGCAGCGGGACTCCGGTAAGAGGACGGCGGGCAGGGCGAGCCCCGCGGAGGAGCCGGCTCTGCACTCCGAGGCCCGGGCCACCGCCTGCCGCCGGGGGACAGAAGCCAAAGCCGCAAGACTGGGGCCGGTGACAGGTTTATTGCCCTCGGTGAGCAACCTGGGTTTCTCGTCACCCACTCGCCCCCAACTCTACGCGCGCATCCCTCCTTCGCCCTTCCCCGTACCTGACAAACCGAGGCGCGGAATCCCGCGTAGTCAGAGCGCTCCCCAACCTGCAGCGCCCGGTCGCCGAGCTCCGACTCCTTCTCGCGCCGGTCAAACAAGTACACAGTCCTGGCGCCAACGCCTCCGCCATCCCCCACAGTCTCCTCAGAGGGCCCGCCGGGCCCACCGCTGCCCGCCGCTGCCATATTGGGGGAAAGGAGAATAGACAGCGGCGCCGGCCCCCACCGCCCACAGGGTCGAGGTGCGGGCTCCTCGCGGCGCCTTCAGCTCCAGTGCCCCAGGGCGCCTCGAGGCCTCGGCCCGGCGCAAGGCAGCTCCTCCTCCGCGGCGGCAGCAGTGGCGGCGGCGGCCGAACAGCGACAGGCGCGAGGATCACCCGGGAACCGATTCAAACGCGCTCCTGTCCGTGCACCACGTCACTTCCGCGACCCGCCACTACCGGAGAGAGGAGGACGCGCGGCGCGCTCCTCGCAGGGCCTGGGCCCAGAGCCCGCCGCTGCCCACTGGAACCGCCCAGCCCCAGACGCACCCGGGACGGCCGCCCGGTCTGTGGCGCAGGAAGAAGAGGGGTGGCTGGCGGCTAGGGGGCGGGGGAGGCGGGGCGAATCCAGCAGGCCGCGCGGGCCGGGGAGGGGCTTCGCCGCGGGCCCGGCTCCGCCCCTTTCGCCCTCTCTAAGTTGGAGGGAAGCGTGGTCCTTCCTGCGCCCGGTGTGGCTGCTGCAGAAGCCCAGACGTGGGAGTCTCCCAAGAGACTGGATTCCCCGGGCCGAGAGGGCGCAGGTGCCTCCTTGCCTGGCCATGACCCCGAGCGAACCTGGCTCTGTGTGGAGATCAACGCCTTGGATCGCGTGGACTTGGCGGCGGGAAGCGTCGGGCCCACGGGCCTCGTGGAGTGGAACTTCCCCCCCCAAAGCGAGCACGTGGGTCCCCTTGAGAAGAAAGCAGACGCTGAAAAACATGGCACTGCTTTTTGCTCCTCATTTTCTAGCAGTGTTGGGTGGGCTTCACTGTGTGCCACCACCAAGACAAAGCTGGTCAGTGAGACTCGACAGTGTGTGACGTAGCTGCGGTGCCCCCTCCCCTCGGCACTCTCTGTGTGTCCTGGAGCACTGGTGGCATTCTGGACACCTGAGTGTCACAAGCGTCCGAATTTTCCCACTACACACGCCTCGCCGTCGCAGAGTCGCTATAAATTGTGAAAGAGAACGACACGCACGCCAGAGTTATTAGTGTTAAATTAGATGTTCGCAAAAGTCCTAATACATAGTGCATTTTCAATAAAAGCCTTTATCACCATCAATGGGGTAGCAGATTTCAATAACTATCCCGATAGTGAGCGTGTAGCGCCACAAACTCCACAACAAATAAATGTCGTGGAGGATTAGATCTGCAATTTTTTTTTTTTTTTGCAGTTTGGCCAGGGCTAGGCTTGTACCTGCCACCCCTGGTATATGGGGCTAGCACCCTACTCCTTGCCCTAGATCTGCAATTCTTAAAAACAGTAAATATTTTGTGCTGGAGAATGATAATGTAAATTCAGGAACCCCGCGGTAGCCCATTCTGGGATTTTTCAAGTTTGCCAGAACTTCTGTGGTTGATTGTCATATGAGCAGATTCATGAAGCTAGTATACATTAGAAACCTAGATTTGCTTGTTGCTATTAAGATGTTCCAGGATCATATATGATCGTGTATAATTGGCTAGACCTAAGATATTACATCTAGAACACACAAGTGAAAGAAATGTGTGAAGGCACGCATGTGCTCAAGAAACAAAGTATGGCTGGAAGTGGGGAGAATGAAGGGTAGATGGTGGAAAATAAAATTGGAAAGGGGTTAAGTTGTGGCTACATGCTATTTATGTCTCTTAAAGAGGATAAAAGAGTACTCCTTGCCCACTCCCATAGGATTTCTTTGTCTAATGATTTATTTACCTTTCAAATTCAGGTGAACTTTTCATCCTATTCCTTTATATAGTAGTGTTTGAGTTAAATGACTCAAGAAAAACACAAATTGTTTTTCTAATCCTTAGTTAATGAGTAAGAGAATTGCCTTTCTACTTCAGCAAATTGAGATAGAGCCAGAGATTATTCGTTAGGGCAGTTGCTCATTTCTCTTTAATAACAAATTATATAATCACATGGATACAAACAGAAACATCGGTAGAAGAGATTTGAGCATAATCTCTAAAAGAAGAGATAAAAAATGCTGACGGGGAAACGTGCTGCGATATTATGATCAACTCTTGGTGGAAACACTGATGTGTTATCTTCCCATGGAGAGGACAAGTCTGAATCAGTTTCTTAGAAGGCAGTATGGCAGAAACAGTCTAGGAACTATTTGCCAGTTACTTGTGCTCTCAAAAACTTTTCAAAAGACTTTTTCAGTGAAAAAAATGATGTTTGTTCTTTATCTAATTTTTATCATAAGAAAATAAAGTTTGAATTTGAAATGAACCAGTTCCCCAATTAGTTCTCTTTAATTGACTCATAATTTTTATTTTCATCATCTGTTTTAACACTTAGAGTAAAATATTTAAGTGGCCCTGTATCAGTTACCTATTACTACATAACAAAGTTCTCCCAAATTTAGTAATCCCTAGAGCAGATCCTCTTTCCCATCTTCCTTGGTTATGGCTCAACCTTGAGGCCAGTGGGACTTAAGATGCCACAGACATCTCCTGGAGCCGTTCACAGACCATGAACAATAACTCTTCAAGTCTGCAATTTAAAATAGCCTCCAGTTAAACTATAGTCCTCCCTCAGTAGCATTGGGAGTTTCATTCAGGGATACCTGCGGATTCTAAGGAGGCACAAGTCATTTATATATAAAATGGTATAGTATTCGCTTATAACTTAACACATATCCTCCTACACATTTATTTTATTTGAGACAGAG